TGAGGGAGTCAAGCTATTCTCCAAAGCCCCTGAAGGCAGGACAAGAACCAACAGATGGAAACTAATCAAGGAGAGAAGCAACCTGGAACTAAGGAGAAACTTCCTAACAGTAAGAACAATTAACCAGTGGAACGACTTACCTCCAGAATTTGTGGGTGCTCTGTCACTGGAGACTTTTAAGAAGAGATTGGAGAACAATTGTTCTGAAATGGGATAGGGCAGTGGTGGCGAACCTATGGCACGGGTGCCACAGGCTGCACTCAGAGCCCTCTCTGTGGGCACACGTGCCATGCCCCAGAGACAGCAACCGTCCCTCTTCAACCAACCGCCTGCTAACTCGCTGAGGTCCCACGTGGCCAGATGCATCCCAGCACAGCTGGTTTCCCTCCCCACATCCCATCCCTCCTGGCCTCGCATGCTCTCCTTTTCCCAGGCACAACCCACTGCATTGCCTCCTCAGGTGTCGGCCGGCCGTCCAGCTCAGAGGCGGCTTCTCTGAACTGCTGGTGGCGGGCTGCAGAGCCCCAGAGTGTACCAGTTGAGGGGCTGGCAGGCTGTGGCTGCTGACGGACACCATTGCCCCCCATGTGTTCGCTGGCATCTGTGTGCGGGGGCCAATGGTGTCAGGCACCAGCCGCCCCGGCCCCTGCCTCGCCTTGCCCTGCGGCAGTGGCACCCCTGCCCTGCCTCACCTCAGCTCACCCTGCAGGACGAGCCTCCTGCCCACCGCCCCACCTGCCAGAGACCCCCTGGATCTCCCCCAACCCTGCCCGGCCCCCACAGGCGTCCCTCCCCACGAGCAACATCAAGGTGACCATGCCCACCTTGGCCACACCCACCCAGTCTGCCATGACCATCACAGCCACGTCCACCCAGTGGGACACGCCCACCTGCCACCCGACAATGCATAAGTGGGTTTTGGGTTGCAGTTTGGGCACTCGGTCTCTAAAAGGTTCGCCATCACTGGTATAGGGTTTGCTGCTTGAGCAAGAGGCTGGACTAGAAGACCTTCAAGGTCCCTTCCAACTCTTGTTATTCTGTCCTGTTCTGTTCTGTTCTGATAAGCAAAGTCAGTTACGATAGTTGCAGTGTCCTGGGGTCCCGTCATCGTCTTTTGCAACCTTTGGATAAGCAAAAGTCCATGGGAAAGCCAGATTCACTTAACAACCGTGTTACTAGCTTAACAACTGCAGTGATTTGCTTAAAAACGGTGGCGAGAAAGGTCGCCAAATGGGGCAAAATTCACTTTGCATCAGAAATTTTAGGCTCCACTGTGGTCGCAAATCGAGGACTGCCCACCTGTGAGAAGAACCTGCAGAGAACTCTGCAACAATGATTTGCCCCTGTGCTTTTGGTCCCACGGCTTGCCCTCCTCAGAGAAACCCCAGGTCACAGGTTCTGACATTATCAACGGCCTCTCCTCAAGGACCGTAAAAAGAGAACACCCCGGAGTTGCCAGAGAAGCGAAAACAGAAACTGCATCTAGCTCACTTCCCCCTTAGCTACTGTAAAAGCAGGCTGATCTTTTTAAATTACACATTTAAACTTTCACACACATGGCAGGAAAAGCTATTTTAGCTTCTGCTCGGCTGAAGCGGAGCTCACTGTGTTAGTGGAGACACAAGGCCTATGGAGGAAACAGGTAAGGAGCTTGTCCATTGCTTGGTAGGTAGCTTATGCTTCCCCCCCCCCTTTTTTTTTTCTTAAAAGAGAGCAAGGACTCCTTCAGACTCCTGGATTCAATATGTCAATATTTGCAAAAAGGCTGCGATTGAGCTCTTTGTCAGTCTGGAAGAATTTGCGTTGTTTTTTTTTAAAGTTGGGCAAAGAGACTCTAGAGCTGGCAGTCCCCAGCCCCTAACGTGGCTGGTTTGAGAACGAAGCGTTTGCCAGATTTTGTCATTTTATCCACCTGCGTCAGACAGAAACCGCTTCCATGGATTTATTCAAGGATCTGGTCTCGCCGGGCTAGGAAGCAGGGCAGAGCTGTGAGTTCTAGTTCTACCTGAGCCAGGACAGCCAGATGGGCCGGTCACTCTTCTCAGCTCAACCCACTTCACAGGGTTGTCGTTGTGGGGGAAATGGGAGGAGGAAGGTATGTTGGATATGCTTACTGCCTTGAGTTATTTGTAAAACTAATAAAGGTAGGAAACAGGTAGGTAGTTAGTTGGGTGGGTGGTGGATGGGTGGATTGATGGAAAGATAGAGATAAGATAAGATAAGATAAGATAAGATAAGATAAGATAAGATAAGATAAGATAAGATAAGATAAGATAAGATAAGGTAGGTAGATAGGTAGACAGATAGACAGACAGGCATACAGAAAGAAAGAAAGACAGAGGAGAGAAAAATAGATAGATAGATGATAGATAGATAGATAGATAGATAGATAGATAGATAGATAGATAGATAGATAGATAGATAGATAGATAGATAGATAGATAGATAGGTAAGTAGACAGATAGATAGACAGACAGACAGATAGACAGACAGGCATACAGAAAGAAAGACAAAGACAGAGGAGAGAAAAATTAGATAGATGATAGATAGATAGATAGATAGATAGATAGATGATAGGTAGGTAGACAGAGAGATTGAGAGATAGATAGGCACACAAAAAGAAAGACAGAAAGACAGACAGGAGAGAAAGATGATAGATTAGATAGATAGATAGATAGATAGATAGATAGATAGATAGATAGATAGATAGATAGATAGATAGATAGATAGATAGATAGATAGATAGATAGATAGATAGATAGATAGACAGATAGACAGACAGGCATACAGAAAGAAAGACAAAGACAGAGGAGAGAAAAATTAGATAGATAGATAGATAGATAGATAGATAGATAGATAGATAGATAGATAGATAAACAGACTGACAGACCGACCAAACTGGCTCTCAAAAAAACTCTAGAGCTGTGTTTCTCAACCTCAAGAACTTTAAGATGTGTGGACTTCAATTCCCAGAATTCCCCAGCCAGTATAGTATAACTGGCTGGGGAATTCTGGGAGTTGAAGTCCATGCATCTTAAAATTGTTGAGTTTCAAAAACAGAGCTATTAAATTCTTGTGAACTGAGCAAAAATAGCAGAGACAAACCGTAGAGTGAGTGAGCAGTGAGGAAAGAGCGAGACCTCAAGCAGAGATCAAGAAAAATCACATTTGCCACTTGTTGGGCACCACACAGCGTCAATTGCCATATGCAGAAAGCAAGCAAGCAGCTGGTGTTGTTTTTTTTTCTTCTCTTGCTTGTGGGGTAACACAAGCAATTGATTAATTGCAGAAACTACAGCCCACATTGGAAAAAGCCTTGCTGATACCAAGGTGGGGTTAGTTTCAAAAGAGGGGGGCCAGGACTGAACCATAATTTATTTTAATGCATATCACATCCTCCAGATAAAAAGAATTGGTGTCAGTATATGTCTACCCACGGAATTAAAAGCATTATTTGCCCACTATTAGAAATTACATTCGGGGGATTTTTTTTATTATTATTTGGGGTATTCAGAGTTTCAGTCCATCTGATGTATAAATATGCACGTTTTATACTCTTTTTAACAGCTTTGGAAGTGGAAAATCAGTAATCTGCTTAATTACTTCCCCTATCTTTTCCTGCTGATTACGACCCACTCAAGGTGTCCCTCACCTGCATGGTTTTCCTTATGTTTTAATTCTGGCCAGAAAAAAAATAAAATGGGTGAGAACAATTAGGAAGTGAGAAGCGAAAAAGAGGAAAAATAAGGTTACGCTTTCTGCAATTCGTTTAAGTTTCCTCCATTAATAATTGCAGCCAATAGGGAGCAGGAGTCAGTCTCTATTTCAGGGGTAGGCAACCTTGGCTCTTTTATGACTCGTGGACTTCAACTCCCAGAATTCCTGAGCTCAGGAATTCTGGGAGTTGAAGTCCACGAGTCATAAAAGAGCCAAGGTTGCCTACCCCTGCGTCTATTTCATCAGGCCATAAACATAGGCAGTATTGACCATGATATTTAAAATCTTTTTTTTAGTCTATTGTTTTGGTTGTACACCGGTGTAAGTGCTATTTCTGTAATTCACCGATGTAAATAATCAACTGACATTCATTTAACCTCCTATAAATGCTCTTGCTGTAAAAATTACCGAATGGTATATATCCATTGTGGCGAACCTATGGCACACGTGCCACAGGTGGCACGCAAAGCCCTCTCTGTGGACACGCACGCTGTCGCTCCAGTCCTAGGCCTTCAGCTGGGTTTTCTAAAACCTTTTCACTTTAGGCCTCCGCCGCCGTGTGCAAAAAATAAATAAATAAATGTTCAATCAATCAATCAATTTCAACTTCTCGCGGGGGAAAAAAAACGATCTCACAAAGTTGGAACTGATTCATTGAACTTTTTAGTCCCACCCAGTCTGCGCCATGCCCATCCAATTGGCCACACCCATCCAATTAGCCACACCCACCCAATGGGCCATGCCCACCCAATGGGCCACGCCCACCCGGCACCCGATGATACGTAGGTGGGTTTTGGGTTGCAGTTTGGGCACTTGGTCTTTAAGAGGTTCACCGTCACTGGTATATATAAAAAATCTTCACTTTCCGTTCTGTCATTCTTCTTCTTCTTCTTCTTCTTGTGCCATATCCGTTATCGGACGTTGGCGGTCATGTTGGCGATCCTGTTTTTATCAGCAGCCGCATGAAAAAGTGCTGCTGAGTTTTGTCCAAACCGGTCCCTTAGATTTTGAAGCCACGATGTTCTTCTTCTGCCTGGACCTCGTTTGCCTTCAATCTTTCCCTGGAGGATTCAATGGAGTATGCCGTGTTTTTCTGGGTGTCGCATCACAGGTCCGAAATATTCAGTTCAGTTCAGTCATTACCGTTAAAAAAAACTGATTCCCTAATTGGCACGCATGAAAATGTTTTTTTAAAAAAAGGTTTGATTTTGTTGGTTTTGTGTTTTGGTTCTAGGTTTCTGCACCGATTCAGGAGGCTAGGAACTGAAAAATCCTATTCAGCCATGGGCCGAATGAACTTCGTACATTTTTTCCTGGCTTTTGTTCTGTTTAACACTCGGGGGATCACCGCTTACGGCTTCAGAAACTGCATCCAAACCATGAAGTATCCTCTGTATTTCAGGTGCATGCAGCGTTTCCTGAACAATATCTCCAGTATTTTAGATGACCTCCCTAATTACGCCGAAGTGGTCAACGCATCCCATAACTCCATTAAAGTCTTGCCTTATGGGAGCTTCCGTCACCTTTCTAAATTGAAGGTCCTACAGTTGAGTTATAACAAAATGGAGAAAATAGAAGGTGGGGCCTTTGAGAACCTGACGGCCTTGGAAAGGCTAAATCTCTCCTATAATTATCTCACAAATCTTTCCCAAGGCACTTTCTTTGGCTTGGCTAACCTCACCTTCCTTCTCTTGCACAATAATCACTTGCGCGTGCTTCATCGGGATGCTTTTAGTCTGTTACCAAGCCTTCTGGATTTGCAGCTGCAGTTCAACAGTTTGAGCAGCTTTAACCTCGTGATTCAGAGCATACAGAAGTTAAACCAGCTGAAATACCTCAACCTCTGCAACAATAATCTGACTTTTCTCCAGCCGGAACTGGGATTTCCTCCTTCCTTGTATAACCTTAAGCTCTGCAACAATTCTCTTCGTAAGATGGATGGGCCAGGGCCAGGATTCTTGGGGAACGTCAAGGTGCTGGACCTATCTTACAACAAGTTCTCGGAGACCTCTTCCTTTGCTAACGTTAGCCTCCGGGGACTCCAAAGATTGAAGTTGGCGGGGAACAATATCGACGTCCTACAATTCTTGGATATTTCTAAACTGAAGCCTCGCAGCCTCGATTACTCTGGATTGCGTTTAAATAAAGTTTCACAGCTGACCAAGGTGTGCCAGCATCTTGGGAAATCCAGCCGTCCCTTCAGCCTACGTCTGCAGAGCAACAACCTGAGGAATTTGAGTAGCCAAGCGTTTCTAGCTTGTCCTCCCATCTGGCTTCTAGATCTTTCCAGGAATCGCCTCAGGTCAGTGGACTGCGTGAGGCAAATGTTGAACGCCACAGCACAAAGCCATTTGAGCACATTGTTGGTAGAGCACAATCTGTTGAAACAGCTCAGAAGTTGCTTTAGCACAGCTCCCTTCGAAGCGCTGACGACCATCTCTTTCCGTTTTAATCGCATCCTCTCGATCAGCAGTTCGGCTTTCCACTACGCCCCTAATTTGATCAGCCTCCATTTGAATATCAACAGTATTGCTTTCCTGCATGCCAGAGCCTTGAAGGGTTTGAAACAACTCAGAGAGCTGCGTTTGGATAACAATCTTCTGACTGATATCTACAACAACAGCTTCAGTGACCTCAGCAACCTCCAAATACTCAATCTCAGGAACAACCACGTTTCGGTTCTCTTCCCTGGCACCTTCAAGAATCTTGGGAAGCTCCACATTTTAGACCTGGGGGGAAACAACATTCACAGGCTGTCCAACGTGTCATTCGAAGGGCTGAGGAATCTTTCCAATCTCTACCTGGATAACAACAACATTCAGTACATCAGCCCTAGTTTTTTCCGTCCGATCGAGAGGACTCTCCAAGTGCTCGATCTGATGGGGAATAAGATATACTTTATCAGCAAGAATCAACTCAAGCAGCCTCCCTTCTCCAACCTGCAGAAGGTCTACGATCTCAAACTTCAACTGCAGCGGCCCCACGGTTTGAAAGTCATTCCCTCGGGCTTCCTCAAGGGCCTGACCTCTTTGCGCAACCTCTACCTGTCGGAGAACAAAATCCTGTCCATCGCACCCGACGTCTTTGATGACTTAAGGCAGCTGGAATACCTAACCTTGGCCGATACCAGTAATGGCAGGGGGGACCTCCCCCCCGGTATCTTCAAGAATCTTAAGAAACTGACAACTCTCGATCTGGAGAACGCCGGCCTTCGCACCATGACCCTAGAGGTCTTTGGCAACCTTAGCAACCTGCGCTACCTTTTGTTAGGCAAGAACGAGCTAAAGACGTTCAACAGCAGCGTGGCGAAAGCGCTTCCGTCGCTGAGCTACCTTGACCTACGCAAGTGCCCTTTGGTTTGTACCTGTGACAATGTGTGGTTCCAGAACTGGCTAAGCAATAGTTTGGTGCAGGTGGTCTATCTCTACAATTATTCCTGCAATTCTGGCCAACAGCCTAGTTATGTTTATAGTTTTGACACCCATGTTTGTTTCCAAGATATAGGGCTGTACCTATTCTCTGCCACCTTCCCGTTTTTGCTGCTCTTCATGATGCTGCCTTTCCTTTACCATCGCAGCTACTCGCGCCTAAAATACCACATCTACGTCTTGCGCGCTTGGGTCAATGATTACTGGAGGCGGGGCAAAGACGAGCATTACAAATTTGACGCCTTTGTCTCCTACAACTCGGCGGATGAGAGCTGGGTGCTAGAACAATTGGTACCCAGTCTAGAGAAAGCAGGAGCCCCGACTTTCCGGCTTTGTCTCCATCACCGAGACTTTCAGCCCGGGAGATACGTAATAGACAATATAGTCGACAGCATCCACAACAGCCGGCATACTATTTGTATAATCAGCAGGAGGTATCTGCAGAGCGAATGGTGCTCCATGGAGATTCAGCTCGCCAGTTATCGTCTTTTTGACGAACTGAAAGACGTGCTTATTCCTGTTATCCTAGAAGCCATCCCCGAGAGAGAACTTTCCGTCTACCATCGGATGCGGAAAGTGATGCTGAAGAAGACATACATTGCATGGTCCCCAGACCCCGAGGCTCAGAGGCTGTTCTGGGCTAAGTTGAGGACGGCTCTGAAGGCCGGCAATTCTGAGGACAAAGAGGAGAACGTGACAGACTGGTATGATCAAGAAGACACGTCGGAATCCAGCCCGCTGCAACCGTGATTCAATTTGAACACGCAGAATACTGAAGCGTTGTAAGATGGCCTCTTTTCATACACGTTTTCCTTCCTCTTTGTGTGTTAACGATCTTCTTTAGAATATGTGGTAAACATATAAAAACACCGGGATAGACTCAAGCTGGTTGGATCAGAAGAATTTTTTTTTTTTGGGCTGACTGTTTTGCAATGTCCTTAACATTATTGCCTCAGGTTTCTGATGTTGTCGTACACACTTGGCAGTTTCAGTAATTTTAAATACATTTTCGTTGTGTATTTCCTGCAGGAAAAAGGGCATATGGGCAAATGGACATGCAAAGCATGATGTCTTCACATATAATGCTTAATATGATATATCTTGGTTCACACACATATCTCAACCCCACTTAAGCCTAGTCTATCATGATACAAAATTTTTGGACTACTATACGTTTATGATATGAAATGATTGGACTAGCTTAATTTGATTGTTATTATTATACAAGGACCGAATTAAAATAGTCCAATCATTTTTATTAATATAAGCTTCCATAATGAAATGTGGAGAATTTCTACACAAGATTTTAGCGGTTTAGCAATTCTGTATGCCTTCAACAAAATTAAAAGTAGTGGAAATGGGATAATTCCATTTAATTTTCATACTTTTGTGAGAAGGACTAGAACAGAGGTAGGCAACCTTGGCTCTTTTATGACTGGTGGACTTCAACTCCCAGAATTCCTGAGCCAGCCATGCTGAGGGGAAAGGGAGAGGTTTCCATGCTGAGCCATGCTGGCTCAGGAATTCTGGGAGTTGAAGTCCACCAGTCATAAAAGAGCCAAGGTTGCCTACCCCTGGACTAGAATTATCTCTGTGAGCAAAATTGCACATCCAGGTAAATTCATGGCAATGGCTACCAACACTCGTGAACTTTCATTTAGTACAAGTAGTTCTCCATTTATAGCCATTCATTCAGTGTCCATTCAAAGTTACAATGGCACTGAAAACAGTTACTCACAACTGGTCCTCACACTTACAACCGACCCAGTATCCCCACGGTCATGTGATTCAAATTCAGGTGCTTGGCAACCAGCATGTATTGCAACAATTGTAGCTTTGATCGCGTGATCGCTATTTGCGATCTTCCCAACCAGCTTCTAGCATGCAAAATCAATGTGGGAAGCTGGATTCACTTAACAAATGCATGTGTGATTCACTTCACAACCGTGGCAAATGGGTTACAAAACTGGGTACGACTTATATAACATCCACCTCGCTTAACAACAGCAGTTCTGTTTTCAGTTGTGGTCACAAGTCAAGGACTACCACTATTGCTGTACTAAGGACGCCTCAGATGTAACTTATTCTTTTCCCGATGGGACCCTTTTATCATTTCCTCCCAGCACCCTTAATCAACGGAGGCCAATTCAGAGATCCTTGCAAGGAAATCTCTACAGTACTGGATCCCCAGAATTTCTATCCAAGACAAATTTGCATTCTCTTTTGGACTCATCTGCAGAAGATGTGTGTAGTCATTTGCAACTGACATATCATCTCTAACCATCCGTGACCTCCAAGGCAGAGTAGTCTATTTCCAAATTCCTTAGCATAGAAAATCGGTTTCACTAATGTGAATTAGTACAGTAGTACAATAATGTGCTCATTACTGCAATTTCCTCTGTTTATTTAGACAGGGGTTCTGCACTGATTCTTTCCCGAGCAATTCCCACTCCACTCGAAACTTATTGCTGTGGATGTTTACCCATCTAGCATCATTAACTGAGGAATAATCTGTTCAAGTATTCTCCTGGTATGAAGGAGCAGAGGAAAAAAACCATGAATTAAGAGACCGATACTTGCATACTGAGCAGGAAAAGCAAGAGAAACAAGGCCATCCAGGCAGAATCTTCTCAGGTGGATGCATGAGTGGCTTCAGTGTGGTTTTGTCTAACTTTAAAAGAACTGTATCCTAGTCCAGGGCTTTTCAACCTTTTCACCCATTGTACCACTTTTAGGATATGGCACTATCCGAGTACCACCAGTCGCCTAGCAAGGTGTCAAAAACTTGATGACCCCCCCTCAAAAAGGAAAAAAGTGATAAAGTACAGGTAGTCCTCGACTTACAACAGTTCATTTAGTGACTGTTCGAAGTTACAATGGCACTGAAAAAAGTGCCCCCCAAGCCACAGCCGAGCAAGACACTTGCCTGCCCACCCGGCCGCACTCTTCCTCCTGTCCGAGGTTTTCATTGTTGTGAGCATTTCTGTTGAGGATTGGCAGTGGGGGTGGGGTGGGGGGTGTTTGGTTTGTATTCCCCCCGTCTGCTGGGTGGTTGCAGNGGTCACTTCACATGACCCTGGGACACTGTGACCGTCATAAATATGAATCAGTTGCCAAGCATCTGAATGTAAATCACAAGACCCTGGAGATGCTGCAACATTCCAGCTGATCGGCGCTTCTTCTGGGCTCAGCAGAAGTGCCAGGATCAGTGCTGCTTTCCAGCTGGAGCCTGGCACTGATCCTGGTGCTTCCGCTGAGCCCTGGCAGCCCCGAAGAAGCGCTAATCCTGGCGCTTCCGCTGAGCCCTGACAGCCCTGCAGCTCCAGCCGTCTCTCGCTCAGGCTTGTGCGGTGCTGCCACCGGTTCAGCTCATTCCCCTCCCCCGCTACCACTTTTCTGGGATGGTCGCGTACCACCTGCCAGGTGCCAATGTACCACAGGTGGTACCCGTACCACTGGTTGAAAAGCCCTGTCCTAGTACTCAAGAAAACAAAATAGACAAAGGAAAAAATATCAGATATCTTTGCTAGTACAGGTAGTCCTCAACTTACAACAGTTCATTTAGTGGCCGTTCAAAGTGAACAAAGTGACTTATGACTGTTTTTCACACTTAGGACTTTTGCAGCATCCCCAGGGTCACGTGATCAAAATTCAGACGCTGGGCAACTGACTTGATATTTCCAGTGTCCCAGGCTCATTTGTGATTTTCTGACAAGCAAAGTCAGTGGGGAAAGCCGGAATCATTTAACAACCATGTTATTAACTTAACTGCCGTGATTCACTTCAGAACTGTGCCAAGAAAGGTCATAAATTCGCTTAACAACTTGTCTCACTTAGCAACAGAAATTTTGGGTTCAATTGTGGTCGTAGGTCAAGGACTACCTGCACCAAGTCGCCGTATGAAAGTTGGGTGGTTATAAAAAAAATGGTTGCATAAATAATAAAATAAAAGCTTTGCAGGCAGCTTCCTATTTAGCTATGTCAGCAGTTTCTTCCCCCATCATTTCTCAACTACTTTGTTCCCCTGCATCTTTAGAGTGAAGTAAGTACTTAATTCTGCAAATGCCAACTCTTTTTATGTCACTTCTTGCAACCTGGAATCTCCCCTCCCATCATATCACGAACAGTGTTACAGATTTAACTTTGTGGAAGTAAAATCAACACCACCGCACGGCACATAATTGCAAAAAAGATGAAATACATCAGAAGCTTCAAAACGACAATCCAAATCAAACCCTATCAGGTATCCTTGTGATATGATGATGTAGATATTTATTCTGCCCTATAAAAATCATCTGGATTGTTTCCCTCCCTTCAAAAACGGCAAAAGAACAGTATTGTGTTTCTTAGAATGTAATTTAATGAAGGCTGGTAATAGGATTTTGTGCCTCATCATACACAATGGAAGACAACCAACCTTCGTCGCCCCTTGTAAAGCAATTGCCTCATGGGGCTGGCTTATCTGGAAAAAAAAGAGACTATAATTCTGAAAGTGACCTGAACAAAAAGGGCTTTTTTAAAAAAACTGAAGGAAAAAAAAAATCACAGAACAAAATGATTGAGAGAGATGCAATTACAGGTCCAATGTGGCTAATGCTACTTCTGAGTTAATATGTCTTGGTTCTCCTATTCATGCTGAGCAATTTTCTGTCTCTTTTTCCAAGTCTTTAACGATGCAGTTTGCACAGGTTTTCAGTACAACTTCATCCTGGGGAAGGCCCAGGGTTCAGGACTGGACTGCCCCCACAGATGGCCCTGTAAGGTGCAGAGAGGAGAATCCCCGTTCTCTAAAGCTTCGGAAGGGGGGAAACAAGACATGGGCAGTTGCTGCAAAACGTGCAGCTGCTGTGCGCCTTCCAAACGAAGCAGCCTTCCCAGACCACAAACCTGGTTCCCGGGTCTGGAAGCTCCCTTTTCTCTAGAACCTTGCATTTTGTCGGAGGCCTCTGCCAGCCCCCAGAGCTGGTGGTTGGGTGAGGCCCTTCCTTGCTCGGCAGATATTTTCTGATAATAGAGCCTAGGTTTTCCTTGCCCAGGGAGCCCATTTTTTAGCTGAGGGTGTCTGCTGGGTGCGGAGACATCTTGCTGAAAGCACTGCCTGTAGAAAGAACGAGGCGGTTGAGAGATGACATCGAGCTGGAAAAATTCCTTGGGCTGCCCTTGTTCCGAGCGCAGTTCTCTGGAAGACAGCGGCAGGTGAGCCAAGGACGAACAGGCCAGGGCTCGGGAGATTGGGAATTTGGCCTCCTTACTGGGCAGTTTAGGACTCCAGATACTTTTTAAGACATCGAAAGAAGTCTGGAAGTCCGGGGTGGCTCTTTCCGTAGCGGCGAGCCCTAAGTCGAGAAGTTGAGAACCGTGCAGCTCCTGGGAAGGATGCAAGTTGTACACTGGAAGAGACTCTGCCTCCTGTGAGCTCCACTGGTCTGGGCTTGGTTGACAGGCCAAAGAGTACGGCTGCGGAGCAGCCAAAAGGAAACAGCCGGCTGATCCAAAGGAATCTCGAGCAGCCAGAGGTTGACGAAGTTGGTGATGCCTTTTAGAGAGAGCCATTTTTTTCAAGGGCGTTCTCTTTTTGCCTTCGGACCTCTCCTGCCTGCCTCTGGATTCCTCCAGGCTTTGCTCCCAGTGCTGAGCAGTTGGGAGAGCAAAGGAACTTCTGGCTGAATTCACGCGCTCGGAAGATGTTGACGGAAGAGAGTGAGGTCGAGCTGCCCTTAGAAAGAAGCTCCGTTGGTCACGGGCTTCTGGCTCAGCAAACAGTTCAACATCTTCTCTTTGGGCTAGTCTGTCGTCTGCCTGTACAGAGACACAATCACTAGAGAGTAGTCAAAAGTGAACAGAAGGCGGCGGGATATCTCAAGGGCCTCTAAACCTGGCAAGTTGAAGAGCTGTGGACTTCAATTCCCAGAATTCCGCAGGCAGCATCCTTCACCTTCCATATGTATTAGGAGTCTGGCCACGTTAACTGGAATTCTGGGAGCCCTTCAGCAAAATCAGAGAAGCCCAATAGGCAGGCCTACAGCAACTAGGGTACCAGCCAATCTGGGGATTGGGGTTTGCCATGAGTATTGCAAAGATGCCATTAATATAGCACTTAGACCAGGGGTAGGCAACCTTGGCTCTTTTATGACTCGTGGACTTTAACTCCCAGAATTCCTGAGCCAGCACAGCTGGCTCAGGAATTCTGGGAGTTGAAGTCCACGAGTCATAAAAGAGCCAAGGTTGCCTACCCCTGACTTAGACTTACTGTATATGCTGCTCCCTAGTGCCTTTTAGCACTCTCTGAGCTGTCTACAATGTCAGCATCTTGCCCCCCAACAATCTGGGTCCTCATTTTACCGGCCTCAGAAGGATGGTGAGGCTGAGTCAACCTTGAACCAGTCAGGATCCAACTCCAGGTTGTGGGCCGAGTTAGCCTACAATACTGCCTTCTAGCCACCGTGCCAGCAGGGCTCAGACAAGAAATTTTACAGGGTTACAGCCTTTATGCCAACGTAAGAAGCATAAGATAGCACATGAAAATCCAGAGTGGGGGAAATGGCCTTAGAGCAGTGATGGCGAACCTTTTAGAGACCGAGTGCCCAAACCGCAACCCAAAACCCACTTATTTATCGCCGGGTGCCAGGTGGGCGTGGCTGCGGTGGTCCTGGCAGATTGGATCGGTGTGGCCAAGGTGGGCGTGATCACCTCGATGTTGCTCGTGGGGAGGGACGCATGTGGGGGCAGGGTTGGGGGAGATCCAGGGGGTCTCTGACAGGTGGGGCAGTGGGCTCGTTCTGTGGGCTGAGGCGAGGCAGGGTGGGAGTGCCATTGTCGCAGGGCAAGGCGAGGCAGGGGTCGGGGTGGCTGCTGCCTGATACCATCAGCTCCCACACACAGAGGCCAGCAAGCGCATGGGTGCTGGGATCCATCTGGCCATGTGGGACCTCGGCGAGTTAGCGGGTGGCTGGTTGAAGAGGGACAGTTGCCATCTCCAGGGCATGGCGCGCGTGCCCACAGAGAGGGCTCTGAGTGCCGCCTCTGGCACCTGTGCCATAGGTTCGCCACCACTGCCTTAGAGTTTACTGTGCTTACCGCTCGTACAGCTCTATGTGTAGGTCCGTGAGAGAAACATGTAAGGAAAATTTGTTCTCGCTCTTTTGGGGTTTTCAGAGAGACGCTCTGCTCGGAGTTCCTACTGTTGCAGCTGCTGGATTTCTGTCCCAAAAGCAGTTTTTTCTCTCCTCTGTTATCTGGGCTGTTGAAATCTAAAAGAGGGCACAGTAAGCGAACGCAAGGAATCCCATCAGGAATTGCAATTCTACAAACACAAATCAGAGTAAATAAAGCCAAGATTAACCTGCTGTATATTATTATAGACAGATTCACAACAACGCAGGAAATAGTGATGCAAAAAGGAGATAGGAGAAAGTGAAAAAGATTATTGATGTTTCTTCCCCTCCCACTCATTATCACTGATGGAAGCCCCTTCCACTTCAACTCTGGCCCCTCTTAACACATTACTGGCCAGTCAGTCAAAACATTTTGGAAAGGGAGGGGGTGTTGAGAGTTTTAACTACTGTCCCTGGAGATCAGTATTCTCAAGTTAAAAACTCTTCCCCCAAGTAAAGGGAAAATTCTTGTGAAAGGCCCACCAATCTCTCTCTGATGTGCTGCAGCAGTCATATAGGAAGATGGGATCTTCAGAACATTTTTTATGTAATGGGTTTAAAAGGCTTATTAGATATGGATTGATTTATGGCTTAAGACAGTTAAATAAGAGGTTAGATTGAATAAAAATTAATGAAAGGTTTGAACTTAATAATACGTTGTTTTATCTATGTATTAATATGTTTTGGATACAGTAACTTTGGGAGGACGTTAAAGACATTCGATACAGATATTGAGGGATTGATTGTTAGATTATAAAGAATAATAGAAATAGAAAGGTATTTTTTCTCTTTTCCTTTTTTTGTTTTGTTTCTGTTTTTTTCTTCTTTGTTCCTTTTTTTCCTTCTGATTTGAACTAATATTTTCTTTTCTTGTTAGAACTGATAGTCATTTTGTAATGGAAGAGGAATAGGAAAAAAGAAGTAATGATATTAATAAATGTCTATTGAACATGTTAAGGGAAAAGGTTATGGGGAGACTCCCGAAGTGTTAACTAGGTATTTAGATTAGAAATATGGAATATAGCAAGTGAAATAGTTAAACTTAATGCAGGATCTGGATTCGTGGATTTATTTAGATGAAAGATTATTGAGGATTGTTATGATTGATTTAGTTGTATTGAAATATATCAGTTTGAATATGTCATTAGAGGGAAAAGAGAGGAGGTTTTTAATGACTTAATCTGAACTTTATGAGTATGACTTTGTTTTGTGGACAATTGATTGCCCTGCCACCACGTTGTTTCTTAAGCACTTGTTTGTAAAATGAAAAAAACCAATAAAACTTGTTTGTTTGTTTTTTAAAAAAGAACATTTTTTAAAATTCGAGCATTACTATCTACAGGTAGTCAACTTATAACAGTTGGTTTAGTGATTATTCAAAATTATAACAGCACTGAGAAAAACGACTTGTGATCATTTTTCAGACTTATAACTGCTGCAGCATCCCCATGGTCATATGATCAAAATTCAGATGTCTGACAACTAACTCGTATTTATGACGGCCCGCCACGTCCTGGGGGGTCACATCATAATCTTTTGCAACCTTCAATGGGAAAGCCAGATTCACTTAACAATCTTGTTACTAACTTAAGAACTGCAGTGATACACTTAAGTGGGGCAAGAACAGTCCTAAAATGGCGCAAAACTCACTTAAGAACCGTCTCACTTAACGACAGAAACTCTGGGCTCAGTATTCCTGGGACCAATGATTTCTTGACTAACTGGAAAATACCACAATAAAAAGAGGCCCTGGTCACATTTTGTTTCTTGTCCCTGTGATTTCATTTTATTCCCAGCCCTTGAGTGAAAAGGCTCAAATTGTTCTTTGCTATACGAACATTAAAGTAATATTTCTTCCTTGTTCTAACACCATCCTAAGTGCAACATCTGTAAGGCTTTGTCATCCATTATCTTGAAGGAAAATCAGGTGACTAAGCTGCTGGGGAACAGAGGCAATAAAAGCAGGATAGGGATCAGCAATGGGAACACGCTGGCATTGTGTTTTATCGATTCGAAGATTGGTGGACAGTAAAGCTGCGCCGGGATCTGTATTCAAAGGACAAAATGTGATCTGGGGCATGCACACAGCAGCAGTTGGGCAATCTTAAAGCAGCTGTCTCTTTTCCTAAGCGTTTTTGCCCCTTTCCAGTTCATGTGAAATCCCAAGAAAAGATGTGGTTTAAGTGGTTCTAAGAGATGCTACTGCATGTCTGTTCTTCTGGATGCTGGGATATATACTGGATGCTGGGATATATATACGCTGCATTAACAGAGGGATAGAATCAAGATCACGTGAAGTGTTAATACCACTTTACAATGCCTTGGTAAGGCCACACTTGGAATACTGCATCCAGTTTTGGTCACCACGATGTAAAAAAGATGCTGAGACTCTAGAAAGAGTACAGAGAAGAGCAACAAAGATGATTAGGGGACTGGAGGCTAAAACATATAAAGAACGGCTGCTGGAATTGGGTATGTCTAGTTTAATGAAGAGAAGGACGAGGGGTGACATGATAGCAGCGTTCCAATATCTCAGGGGCTGCCCCAAAGAAGAGGGAGTCAAGCTATTCTCCAAAGCGCCTGAAGGCAAAACAAGAAGCAACGGATGGAAACTAATCAAGGAGAGAAGCAACCTAGAACTAAGGAGAAACTTCCTGACAGTTAGAACAATTAACCAGTGGAACAACCTGCCTCCAGAAGCAGTGAATCCTCCAACACTGGAAGTTTTTAAGAAGAGACTGGACAGCCATTTGTCTGAAATGGTATAGGGTTTCCTGCCAGAGCAGGGGTTGGACTAGATGACTTCCAAGGTCCCTTCCAACTTTATTATTATTATTATTATTACTGTAGGAAATCTGGGGCAGCGGGGGGGGAAGGATGGGTCAAAGTTACAGAAAATTGAAACAAATTAAGGTTTCGTGCTGAAGGCTTTAAAATCACTCACTTCATTTGTGAGACAATTACTCAACTGCTTCCTTTTTAAACCGTACCACAAACCAAAAACAGACCGTCAAGGGAGGTTGGCAAAAACGATGCTTTTGCTGAAGCAGCTCTTTCATTTCCAGTATTTAGAACAAACTCTGGGTCTGCCTGGCTTGCACTAAACCTTTAACAGGGTTTATTCTCACACTATAGTCTCTTACCTACGTCCCCGGCGTCCGTGTTACAACTACCTGCTTTCTTCCTGAGCAATGTCAAAGCAGAAAAATCTGGCAGGGTTTTGTTTTGCTGCAGTACGGCATTGACAACGGTCTGCCGCATTTCACTGATTAAATCACGCCCAGGGAATATTGCCTTGAGGTCCAACACTTTTTCTAAGTCCTGAGCAAGTTCCTTCGCGGGATGTTTAGATTGAGTCAACCCAGCTCCTTCTGCGGGAGGTGGGGGGACATTTTCCTTGTCATTCACAGCCACTGTTGTGTTGCTTTGGAAAGCTTCGTCCTGTATAGCCTGTTGATCAAAGGTCGCAGCAGGAGATGCCAATGAAGGCTTGTAGCCTGCCTCCACCACCTCCTGCACAACTGCTACAGGCTGGTGTTCTCTGAC